AGCAAGCATGCTAAGAAAAACATTACTTTAATTTTTATTATATTTATATTGATTTTAATAGTTAATTTGTAACTAAAGTTTGATTTTTATATTTTTTCAGGTAACAGCTGACGGTAGTATAGATTGTCAAAATAACCCGAATGAACAAGATCTAGTCACGCGTTTGCAGTTAGTAGAGACAATGGTCGCCCTAATGGGCGAAAAAGGTAATACTAACATTTTTTATAAGTTTTAATTTTACAGATTTTAATAATAATATTTTTACTAACATTAATTATTATTTCAGGTGGTACATTTGTTCTGAAAATATTAACCATTTTTGAATGTAATACATTATGTCAAATGTATTTGTTGTGTTGTGCTTTTGACTCGGTACAGATAAAAAAAACCATTAACAAGTAAACAAGGCAATTCTGAGATATATGTTGTTTGTCGAGGTTTTAAGGGATTGCAATGCGTAGAACCTTTGATACATAAATTTTTCTCAACTTCTAATCGTAGTAAGTTTTGTTAAATATTAAGTTATTAAATTATTATATAATTATAATCTATAACAATTATATTTTATAATTTTAGCTCTGTCTGATAACTGTTTGTTTCCGTTGAACGAGTTGCCAAAAGATTTCTTGTCATCCGTATATAAGTGTTCCAAATATTTTAGTGAATTGCAAATGCAAGTTATAGAGAATAACATAAAATTGTTTTACCAGAAAACTGAAAATGATATTAAATCATTAACAGAATTACAGTTTTGTGTCGCTAATACATATATCAATAGATTTCAAATAAAACCAATTGACCCTTCTCAGGAAATTGTTGGACTAAATAAACTTAGGGTATGATTTATAGTAATTAATTTTTTTTTAGTTAACTTTCATTGATATATTACCTATTGTGCATTGTCTTTTTGGAGTTAAATCTCAAAATTTTAAAATAAATATTTTATTTTTATATAACGTTGAAATATTTAAAAATTAAATTATGATTAACACAAAATTATTTATTATTGAATAGGCCATTCAGTTTGATCTACCGAAAGTTTCGACAACGAAGACAGATATGAATTGTTCATTTACCAAAAAAATGCGTCGAGTAGAATACCGAGAATTAGACAAAGCTAAATTACTTCAAAAAACAAGTGAATAGTTGTTATAATAGTTATAAGTTAACTCCATGGAAGTATGATAAAGATGTTTCGTGGTTTACCGCGAAGGTCAGTAGAATTATAAAACTTATTTATATTTAAATATAATATAATTTATATAATATTCATATTATTTATAACTAAAAGATAATTTGTTATTTTTTTTTTTTTTTTTAGGATGCCAAAATTGACTTGTTGAGTTTGAATATGCAAATGGGTAAACCTGTTTCTATAATTCGTAACTCAAAGTTTTGTGCTAATGAACTTATCGATTACAACAATCGAGCAAGATTATTGTTATTTGTTCCAACAGATGACGCTATTAAGCGTAAAGAGTAAGTTTTTAATTTTTGAACCTATGTAAATAAAATTATATTTCAACTTAATAATAAGTATAAATGTAATATTAGCATATTATTTTATATATTATTTTTAATATTAATATTTAAATTTTTCTCTCTTATGTGTTACAGATATTTTCGGCATAAAATTCCACAACAAGCGGTCCATAGTCAATTGGTTGTTTGTGATGTAACATCGATTTATGCCAATGATTGTTTAAACAATAGTAGAAAACAGCTTGACTCTCTGACTTTAATTTTAAAATCATTGAAGAAACTTAAAGCTTCTGACAGTTTTTTGTTAGTTGGATATCCATTACTTTCTCAAGTTAATGTTGGTATTTTCTATGTGCTTGTTAATATGTTCCTTAAGGTATTTATAATTTATGAACTAGAATTTTTAAATTACTATTCCCATTTTTTTAATTTAATTGGTATTTAATTTTAATTTTCAATTTTTTTCAGACCGGAGAGATCAAACCTGTTGAAATAGGTCATGCTTTTGTGTTTTGTTCAAAACATAATGGCAAAAGTATGGATGATTTAATGTCCGTTTTGTTAAATGTAAAAGAATATAACAAGGATCTTAATATTACCAGTGGCGGATTACGCATTTTTTCGCCATGGGGCAGTTTTTTTAGCGCCCCCCCCTCCCCCACTACTCCACTAGACAACATAAAATATTTTAACTTTAACTCGACAGCTCGCCAAACTTTTGACTGCAGTTGTGACCTATATGGATACTTTTTCTTAAAAATTTTTTCAAAAAATTATTTTTAGTAACTTAAAATAAACGAAAATACAGTCAACCCATTGGTTCATTAGGCGCTCTTTTAGACCTGGTGCCCTGGGGCAGCTGCCCCGTGTTGCCTCGTGTGTAGATCCGCCACAGAATATTACAGAAATTGTTGAAGATCAAGGCCAATCCTTACTTTCCTTTTTTCCGATCGATAAACTTATGTGTAAGTTTTTATTTTTTATTTTGGATAAAACTAATTTATTGAACATGTCTTATTATTTTAAATCTATAACTTAAATTTGATTTTATGTTTCAGATGAATCCATTTATAAAGTCATTGTTGCTGATAATTGTTTGGTTATCATCAATGACGTAAAAAAAACTATTTCTTCTTATTTGCAACAAAATTGACCATGAATGTTGTTTTTTGATTATTTTTTTTTTATTTTTATTAACTTTTTGTTATTTTTTTCTTGTTATTTTTGAAGTTGATATCCTATTTATTTTATTAATTATTATTGTCCCATTTTTATAAATTTCAGCTTTTTCAAATTAATACTTTTTATTGTGTTTAATTCTTTTGAAAAAAAGATTTATATTGTTAAAGATTGAAATTATTACTTTATGTATAAGCTATTTTTTTTATATATATAATTTTTTGTTATTTATTTTTTTGATAAATTTTTAAATTGTTGGTCAATGTTCTGTATATTTTGTCTACTACTTTTTTTTTTTTTTATGTGATGTGATTATAATGTGATGTACTACAATAACTTTTTTGTAAATCTGTTACTATTTATTTTGTTAAATATAACATATTCATATACAGTGGCATAGTCTGGATTATTTTTAGGGGGATGTTGTTTTTAATAATTAAAATAATAAAATAGCTTAATGATTGTTGTCACCAGTGTAGTAGATAACGCAAATTCCATATGATGGTGTAGTGTACGTAAATATTATTTGTCCGAGTAAAGTGTAAATTAATTTAAGCAAATAGAAAATGTCATAAGTGTACCTAAATCAAACATGATATGTCATATGATAAGAAGTGTGCACTATTCAGACTTGGGTAAAATACTTTTTAAAAGTATTTAAAATAAATACTCGAATACTTACAAAAAATAATATTCTGAATATATATTCAAATACTTTATACAAATTGTATTCCGAATACTTTTAAAATACTTTTAGTTTTTTATATTATAAAAATAAAACATGTCCACTCAACAGAAATATTATACCTATTTGAAATTTTAGGCTTAATATATGTTATTTTATTGTATTTTTATATTACATAACTGTTATAATTTATGATTTACAACCAGTGGCGCACACAGAATTTTTTTCGGGGGGGGGAGGTCAAGGTAAAAATATAACACATTTTACAATTAACAAAATTATGCAAATCCTTGATATATTTTGACTTAAATAATAGCATTGATAATAGAATAGACTATTCTATAATCAATGATACTAGGTATTCAATACTAGCTCTTCATATTTCAAACTTGTAAAATTTGTAAATTTTAACCTAGACATCGGAAAAAAAATTCAGGGGGGTTACAACCCCTTAACCCCCTCTGCGTGCACCATTGTTTACAACAATAATAAATACCTGATATTAGCTTATACAAGATATGACGGAGAAGTAATAAAATCATTTAAAAAGAGATGATTTAATGGTATTCGAAATACAGTATTCAGAATACTCGTTATAAGTATTCAAAATACTTTATTGAATACTTTCAAAAAAAGTATTTGAAATACTTAAAAAGTATTCTGAATACAGTATTCCGAATAATGTATTCGGAATACTACCCAAGTCTAGTGCAATAGTGCCAGCACTATTTAAGATAATGTTATCTTAAACCGTGTGTGTGAATATGGCAATATGGCATAACAAAATATATTTTACCACCACCAAATTATTGTATATCTATATTATGAACATTATATTTTTTATTTAAATACGGCCGAAGGGGTTTGTTTTAACACCCAAAACATCCCCTGGCTACGCAACTGACGGTAGTAGTTACTACTTGAACGCATATTAGATGTAGAAGAGCACGTTTCAGATATTATAATATTTTTGTTGGGGATGATAAAAATAAGGTATATAGACCTAAATATTAGAAATAAAATGAATTGTATTACAATTGGTTTATAAAATTCATAGAAAAACTAGAGAAAGATTTCAAGGCCTTTAATGGTATATATAAAAAAAAAAATTAACCGTTACATTTATTCGTTTAAACACAAGAATTTTTTTTTTCTTAAGTGTTAGATAATTTCAACATTATAGATTAACTGCATGTTAAACAAAAATAACTTTAATCCATTCAAAATAAATACACAATACCATAAGTCTCTAAATATATATATAGGATCTATGCTAGGAACAATTGTTATTTTTGTGATGTTTTGACTATTTGAGATACACTTAATTCATTAACACGAATAATACATTTTGAGCCTTCTATAAAAAGTAATAATATATGAACTTACCATAAACCTATTAACTATGGAACAGACCGTAGACTATGAAGACAATAGAACAATAACAATAAAGTATCTCTGACCAACATTTTCAAACTCCTAAATTCTATAACTGTAGTATATTATTCTAACTTTAACCATGAAATATTTTAACTTAGAATACCTTCATTTACTTAAAAAAAATATCTTACACCATCATCATATTATATTTTAATTTTATAATTATCACTAGTAACAAACTTATTTAAAATAAATATCAATAAGAAGCAAAGATAAATGTGTGCAATATAAGTAAAAACTTTATTGGATTTTAAATGTACAAATTAATTACACCAATGAATAAATGTGTAATGTTAGTGGATGTAGAAAATTATACACAAATATAAGCAATTTACATTATTTTTATACTAAACACAATCAATAACATCCAGGAAATGGTTCTGGTCGATTAGTACGTAGAACAAAACTAATTTTCCGTTTCATGTCTTCATCATAGATGGCTTTACATTTCTCGTAATTAACTCTTCGCCTCATTTGCGTAGGCTTTTCGTAGAATCTTGTTCGTCTGTATTGATCTAAAAAGCCTTCAGAACCCATAATGCGGTTCAACATACGACACGCTTCATCTACATTTTCATTTCGCACCAAAACAGTTCTGGATATAAATTTTAAATGTTTCATGACTACTTACAAAACAGCAATAAAAGGTCAAACAAAACTGCACTATGCTAAGCTTAAGAAAATTAACTACGAGTTCGTATCACTAGGTCTTGGTAATCTAGTATCAACGTACCTTGTCATATTTATCAATTATTAATTTTAATAAGTTTAACCTAACCAAACAAAATTGTTATATAAACAGTACGTTGAGACCAAAGAGATTATAATTTATGATATGGATATCCTAGACAAGCAAGATAAAAAAATAATAAAGATAACATATTCTCAACGTCGTGTTTCAAAGATGAAATTTGAATTTCAACTTTAATTAAAAGAATTCCAAAATAGTATCTCATCAAAACGCTCTCCCTAATACTGGATTATAATGACACCATAGAATTAATATTTTATTTTTTATATTAAGTAAATTATTTTTATACAGTAAATAACACATATAACTGTTAGTTATGTAGATAATTAATTAGACTTTTTACAGTCAAAAATCAAGTAAAGTATTCTATCGAAAAAATCCAGCATTTTGTTAATAATAATTAGTTTTCACAATTTCACCTATGTTCATTTAAAATTATACATAGTACACTTCAAAAACTTAAAAGTATATTCATATTGTAACAGTTCAATGATTATCAATATACTTCTAGCATCCATGACAATTTATTTTCCAAATAAGAACACTGTCACTAGCCAATTATGTATATTAAACAACAAAAATATATTGAAATATTCATTTTTTTCAATCTTAACTGTGAACAGTTTATAAATTAACAAAGAAAATATTAAATATTAAACAATAGCTAGTAAGTTCTTCTAATTTTATGATATAAAAAGTACATGTATTTGTGTAACATCATAAACATTATAAAAACTCATTCAGCTCAGAATCAAATATGAATATCAAAGGTTTTTAATTATTTTTAAAGTCACTCAATACTAAATAGCTTTAATTTCAAATCAATGGACAATAATTGTTCTGAAACATTTTATAAATCAATACTATTAAAATATCAATGAATAAATTGCATACATTTTGTTTAAAGTTCTTAATGATTTATAAATAAGCACTGCACCACCAAATGTAAAACCATAATATTATTTTCATTTTTTCATTTAAAATAAAAAGTAAAAATACCAATAAAGAGTTTATTTGTTAATACCCATGTATATTCACAAGTATAATAAATTAATTTTCAGTTATCTTCTTCATCGTCTTTATCAGTATCTTCATTGGTAACATCATCATCTACACATTCTTCTTCTGAAGATCTAAAACACCAAAAGATACTTAAAATATTATAAATCCAACTAATTGATATAAGCATAAAATGAATAATTTTAGTTGCAAGGCTGTTATTTAGGGGCACAATTAATGAGATGAACAATGAACAATGTAAATGGCCCAATATATAAAAAAATTGCTCTTATTATTTAAATTTATTATATTAAAACTAATAAATATAATATATTTAAATATAAACAAAACAATATATTAAACAAAATTGAGCTAGTACAACCAAAGCTTCTTGTGTAGGTACTACATCATCAACACATAATAGAAACAAAAAATATGCCAACCCATTATTTAAATTTATGCTTAATGCAGTTTATATTTATTTTTATATAAAAATAATTTTGAGTAAATATTTATTTAAAATTATTATTAAAACAGTTATTTAATGAGTATGATTATAATTAATGCAACAATAATGAATAATAGTTAAGAATTAATTCTAATAAAAGGTTTAAGTTAATAAAAATAATACACTTATTAATTTATATAAAAGCAATTGTTAAGAACAAATTTAGTAAAATATTTAATTTTATCTCAGCAACTTTTATTCCTGTCTTAAATTAAAAGAAGAGTATAAATACTATATCTTACCCAAAATTAGGCTCATATTCTTCATCATCTGAAGGGAAAAGTTCAGCAGGTTCACCATTGTTTTCTTTGGGTTTATGTTTTTTCAATGTAGGAATATTAAATTCTCCAAGCTGATTAATTTAAAGTTTACATAAATAAAGGGTGAATAATTTTAAAACTTATATGGGTACAACAATTTACTTACAGAAATGTTATTTGTTATCTTTCTGGCAACTTGTTGCTGATTTAATTTGAACCAACTATCATAATACTGAGACATTGGTGTGCCAGCCAACTTGATGTTAGCTTCCCATGCTTGAACAGCTTTCAGGTCATAAAGTAAAATACCACTTTTTCCTCGTTTTTCACTTATAATGGTAGATGTTTCTTTCACTTTATCCAATAAAGTACGCAATTTTCGAGTATAATTTATGTTTTTACAATTTTTAAGAAAATCTTTCATCTAAATGGTTTTTAACATAATTTAATACTCTTTTTTTTTTAAACAATTAATATATTACCAAAGAATAACTAAAAAACATACTTTAATTATAAATGGTACCACTAAATCAGGAAAACTAATAGTATGTGCTTCTACAAGTAGATATTCCATTAAAGCACTATGAACACTTTCAATTACAGCATCTTTGAATACATTTTCTTGTAATTGTGATTTAGATAAACGTAATATACAAGTAAAGTCCATTGGTTTCATAGAGGTTTTTGAGTGTTTCTTTTGAAAATCTACAATACTTAATACCTAAAAAATTATAAAAATTAAGAAATAAATCTTTAATATTATTTACAAATGTTATTTCATATATACCTCTAAAATATGTGGTAAAACAGGTATAAATTTACCCGTTTCTTTACTAAGTTTAGTCAACATAGATACACAATGAAATCTCAAAGGCAAATATTGTACTGTTGGTATAAGTTTAGCACATCCAACTATTATCTACATTTTTTAATTAATAAGAAACAATTTTAAATTAATTATAATTTAAATATATATATATATATATATATATATATATATATATATATATATATATACAATTTCTGAATGTATCCTTAATAACATACTTGAATAAGAGGATAAACTAAAGTTTGTAATTGCTTTTTATTCAATGTTGTACACAAAACATCAGTCCATAATTTCAATGATGATATATATTGCCAATTGTAAACAGATTGAATGTTTTCCTTAAAAAAGAAAAATAGGTTAAAACAATATAATTTATGTAGAAAAAAATGATTTAAGCTTTAAAATTTATATATTTTTTTCTTTAAAGTTACAGCTGATCGAAGATGTATAGCCAATTGTCTTATATATAAAAATGCATGGTTATATGAAATTGGTTCACAAATAGAAAACATCTCTGTTAATGATTGTCTCATAAAGTTGATGCCAGGTAAAGAATTTGGAGTGATAAATTTACTATTAGCAATGTATCCAACATACATTACCTAAATAAAATATTAATAATAAAATATTTTCAGATAAATAACATATTGAAATACCTTTAGAACCATTTCAAGATAAACTGATGGATCACTATTAGCCAATTTTAATATACACAAGAAAGCAACTACTTTAACGGTTTCACTTTCATTAGCACTCCATAATGCTACCAATCTTTTTAAAACTGGTTTCACAATTGTTGGAAGACATGATAAAAATGGGATCATTTGGTGGAAATGTTTTAAAAGTACACACATAATATCTTCACTGGAAACATTATTTAACATCTACAAATAAATACAAATGTGAATTAATACTTATAAGTAAACATGCAGATTTTTATGTAAATATAAGTTTGGTCAAAAAATTAACATTTTGAACAAACTTTTAGTTATTTAATGAATAAAATACTTTAGTAAGATCAGTTAAGTATGAACGTAGAGTCATTTTCACTTTATTCCAGTGTTTTGATTTAGAAATCATAATTTTTGATGAAGAACCAGGAGGAAGTTTTAAAAACTTCAAAATAGCAGGATGCAAATCAAACATACACATTTGAAGCACACCATTAAATACTGAAAAATCAATAAATATTGAAAATATGAATCAAATTTAAATAAAATGTATTGTTACCTGAACTTCCTTCTACTTTATAAGGTGTAGGTTTGTTAATTTCTCCAACAATTATTCGTTGAAGTGCAGCAGTCATTGCTTTAGTTGCTGTAGTAATATATTTTAATTTTTGTTTCCTTCAATAAAATTTAAGTATTATAAGATTTAATCAAATTGTTAAAATATTTAAACTTACGAATTTTGAAGTTTATTTCTCCAGCCCTCTATCATAGATAATGTAATAACAGTAACATCTCCTTCATTATTTGGTGCTTCATCAAAATCACTTTCATCACTACCGATCTAAAATATTAAATGAAATGTATTAAGTCAACAACTATTTTTGATTAAAATTAGAATTCTTAATCTAACAATACATATTAAAAATACTGCTACATCACTTACTTCAAGGTTTACAGGGGGCTTATGTAACTTTTCTGATTTTATACCTTCTACATCATCTTCATCATAATCATCATCATCATCCTCATTACTACCACTAACATTATCATTATCATTTGACTGTGCCATTTTCTCTAAATTTTTATCACATTCTTTCAAATATTTGTAGAATTCTGGGTCAGAAGTTTTTAATTTCTCTACATCTTGATCCAAATCATCACTGTCATACACTTTACTATCATCATCCTCACTTAAACTTGCATTATGGTCAGATTCACCTGAAACAAATCAACATTATTATAAATATAAAACCGTATATATGATTTACTCACTGTTAAATTCAAGGGCATCCAATGATCCATCGGTATCATCATTACTAGTATTATCCACTTCAATTGGTTTGGTAACCATCTTTGCAGTTTTTCTTGTTGGTTTCGTTTTCTTGATCTGTAATTTTTTTTTCGTAAAACTTTTCGGAGCCATGTCGACGGCTCAAAAGTTGAAGAGATAGTAAACAAACGACACACGTGTTTTAAATTCAGCGCTTCACATGGCGAGCGAGAATGCGTTATCAATTGTTGATATTACGATCCGCACGGTAAAATTGTTGTCAATCCACCCAAGCAAATCGAAATATTTAATTTTTTTTTTTTTTTAACATATATAACATTTTACTAACGGAATATTTTGATTTCTACAAAATCGATCGGAGGCTTATATAAAAAATCTATTAATATTTTCCTACATATCGACGATATTGTTGTATATATTTAATACCATAGTGAAGTACCACATTTGATTTTTAATCAGAACGTTGCCTGCACTGGCGCATTGCTGCCAAATATTTTATTCTCGGCGGTTATCGACTACAGTGTAATTGTGGTTACTGTTGCATTGTTGATTGTTGACGAACTAGGTAGCCGCGGTTTCGCTCGTACTTGCCGTAACGTTTCTGTTTTTTGTTGTCTCCCTTCTGTTTTTCGCGGTTTATCCATACGTCGATATGCAACCGTCGATCGGTTAACGATTCAATTTTGTACCCAATTGATTATTTGCTGTAGGCAATTTGCTCTAAGTTCAACTAACAACAGTAAGTGTTATGGCCGTATGGTTTTTTCACACTGTTTTGTTGTTTTTAATGGACGTCATTTTTAAACGAAATTTGGTGTGTTTGTAGCATCGCGGCATTAACAGTTGGCCAACCATGGACAGTCCCGACATGGATATCGAAGACGATGATTTTGATGTAGACGATGAACCTAAAAATGTAAAATCTAGCAAAAAAAGCAACCAAGACAATTCAAAAACGGTTTGTAAAATATATTTATTTATTTATTTTTTTTTTTTGAATGAAAAATGATAGGTATCTAAAACTTATCAACTTCCTATTGTATGCAATTATATGAATTTTTATATTTCCATACAATTATTCAGCACATTGTTAAGGAAATTTTTTTCATATCTTGCAGTTTAGCATGTTTGTTTAAAATTACATTGCTAGATATGGTTTAAAAATTTCTATTTTAAAATACCAATCACTTGTATACTTCTATTTGTAGCCGTTTTTTACAAATAATTTACAATATCAATATTTTTTATTAGTTATACTATTTAAAATTTTATTTGAATTATGAAGATAAAACAAGTTAATTTAACTAATATATTATTTTCCAGAATGGTTCTGATCCACAAGAAGAAGAACCATCTTCATCTAAAATTAAGGATGGAGGATTCGTCAAAGTTGTAAAACAAACAATATTACTATGATTTATTTATATATTTTAATACATTTTAATTTTTCAGGAAAATGACCGTGGTAAAAGATTTGATTATCTACTTAAACAAACGGAAATTTTTGCTCATTTTATGACAACTAATCAAAAAAAAGATAGCTCTGCTGAAGGTACTGGAGGTACACCTAAAAAAGCTAAAGGTAGACCTCGTAAACCTAAAACTGAAACTGGAGATTCTGCAGAGTAATTAAATTAAATACATTTAATTCTTTTAGAGTATTTGACTTTAATTTGATTCTAGATATTTTAATGTATTACTTAATTTTAATTAATTGTATTTCATTTAAGTTAAATATTGTTAATCTGTTATTTCTGTAAAGCCTTCGTCATCGTCAAACTGAACAAGAAGAAGATGAAGAGCTCTTAAAAGAATCATTGGCAGCAGATAAATATATCACACAGTTTGAAGAATCTCCACACTACATTAAAAATGGTGCGTTACGTGATTATCAAGTACGTGGTTTGAATTGGATGATATCACTATTTGAAAATGGCATCAATGGTATTTTGGCTGATGAAATGGGGCTTGGTAAAACTTTGCAAACAATTTCACTTTTAGGGTAAGAAATTATTTTATTTTATTTATTTTATTTTTTTTTTTTTTTGTATCTGTATACTTAGTATTCTAATATAGTGTAAATAACATATTGAATACAATTCTGTATAAAACTGTGCTTTAAAATATTCGCCTTAAAAATGTCTATTGATTCATTTTTGATTTTTTTCATCTTGACACGAAAATATATTAACAAATATTATATTAACTTACTGTTAGATATATGAAGCATTATAGAAATATACCTGGGCCTCATATGGTTATTGTTCCTAAATCAACATTACAAAATTGGGTTAATGAATTTAAGAAATGGTGTCCTACAATTCGAACAGTTTGCTTGATTGGAGATAGAGATGCACGAGTAAGTTTTTAAATTTAAATTTAAATATAATATATACATGATAGGTGTAATCATTTTGAATATAATTTTGGAATTGGTAACTCATTGGATTTTAAAACATATTTTAGGCTAAGTTTATTCGTGAAATATTTATTCCTGGAGATTGGGATGTATGTATTACATCATATGAAATGATTATTCGAGAGAAATCAGTTTTGCGTAAAATACAATGGCAATATTTAGTAATTGATGAAGCTCATAGAATAAAAAATGAAAAAAGCAAACTTTCTGAAATAATTAGAGAATTTGAAACTACAAATCGATTATTGTTAACGGGTACTCCTTTGCAAAATAATTTGCATGAATTATGGGCTTTGTTGAACTTTTTACTACCAGATGTATTTAATTCATCGGATGTAAGTAGTTAATATACATTTTTTTTTCAAGTTAAAATGTCATCAAATTTTTTATGTTAACATTTTGTCTTTTTCATAGGATTTTGATTCATGGTTCAATACAAATACTTGTCTTGGAGATAATGTTTTAATTGAAAGACTTCATGCTGTTAGTATATTTTTAATAATTCATTAAAATAAATATAACTATAAATAATAATTTAATTTAATGTTGTATAGGTTTTAAGACCATTTTTATTAAGAAGATTGAAAGCTGAAGTAGAAAAACGTTTAAAACCAAAAAAAGAAGTTAAAGTTTATGTTGGTCTTAGTAAATTACAAAGAGAATGGTTGATATTTTATAAATATTTTAATTAATTTGTTGTGCTATAAAAAAATTTATTTATTATTTATTATTTATCTTTTATAGGTATACTAAAGTTTTAATGAAAGACATAGATGTAGTTAATGGCGCTGGCAAAGTTGAAAAGATGCGGCTTCAAAATATTCTCATGCAGTTACGAAAGTGTAGTAATCATCCTTATCTTTTTGATGGTGCAGAACCAGGTCCTCCTTACACAACTGATGAACATATTGTATATATTGCTTAAGTTTGTATAAATTTAACATATTATTAATTTTAATTATAATGTTTTAGGTCACTAACTGTGGAAAAATGGTTGTTTTTGACAAATTGCTTAAAGCTTTAAAAGAACAAGGTTCTCGTGTCCTTATTTTTAGTCAAATGACACGTATGATGGATATTTTGGAAGATTATATGCATTGGAAGGGATATAATGTATGTATACTATCTTATAAGTAACTCTTGTAATTTAAACATCAATTGTGCTTGGTCTCTATAAATGTCCAATACATATAAAATATGAAAACTTTACTTTAAATAGTTTTTTATTGTTTTTGTATTTTACATTCATTCAATAATAATATTTAGTATTGTCGTTTGGATGGGCAAACTCCTCATGAAGATCGTCAACGTCAAATTAATGAGTACAATGAACCAGATAGTAAAAAATTTGCTTTTATACTTTCTACTAGAGCTGGTGGTTTAGGTATTAATTTAGCTACTGCAGATGTTGTGATTCTGTACGACTCTGATTGGAATCCACAAATGGATTTACAAGCTATGGTAAGTATACTTTATCTATTCGATGCTTACTATAATATTTTCAAATAGTTTATGTATAGAAATAAATAAGTGCTTAGCTTAAAGTATTATTATATTTGTAATGTAAAATCTGTTTCATATTAAAAATTCTTATTTATTTCTATATATAAATTATTTGTTTATTTATGTATATATTAAGGTACTAGTATTAGCCGTTCAATAATTTTTTATTATTTTATAATTATTTCATAGAATATAATTAACTTTGGAAACATGTTATTTATAACAGGACCGAGCTCATCGAATAGGACAAAAAAAACAAGTCAGAGTTTTTCGTTTGATTACTGAAAATACTGTTGAAGAAAAAATTGTCGAAAGAGCTGAGGTTAAACTTAGATTGGATAAATTAGTTATCCAACAAGGTCGTTTGGTTGATAATCAAAAGAATGCTCTAAACAAAGATGAAATGTTAAACATGATCAGGCATGGTGCAAATCATGTTTTCCAATCTAAAGATTCTGAAATTACTGATGAAGATATTGATACTATTTTACGTAAAGGAGAAGAAAAAGTATAGACTTTTAATTTAATATGTTCCATAGAATTTTATATTAATGATGATTTTATAGACTGAAGAAATGAAACAAAAGTTAGAAACTTTAGGAGAATCATCTTTAAGGAATTTTACATTAGATGCTCAACCAGAATCCTCTGTATACACATTTGAAGGCGAAGATTATAGGTATATTAACTTAATTGATACTTTTTGTGTTTTATTTTGGAAAGATGTTAAGAAATTATGTTAAATTCAAGTTAAATATAATAGATAAAATATGTATCTAATTGTAAAAATAAATAATTTTTTCAGGGAAAAACAGAAGTTAATTGGTGCTGCAGGATGGATTGAACCACCAAAACGAGAACGTAAAGCTAATTATGCTGTTGATGCCTATTTCCGTGAAGCACTCAGAACCTCTGAACCTAAACAGCCTAAGGTATCATACATTATTTAAGTTACCAAAATTGTTAAATGTATTTAGTTATATAGCCAATTAAATTATTGAGGATCAATACTGTTATAGGCTCCTCGACCACCAAAACAACCATTAGTTCAAGATTTCCAATTTTTCCCAACACGTTTATTTGATTTACTCGATCAAGAAATTTATTATTATAGACAAACTGTGGGATATAAAGTAAATAATTAAAATTGATATATAATTTAATTTAGAATTATTATTTATATTTATGTATTGCTTAATTGAATTATATAGGTACCAAAAAATCCAGACTTAGGTGCTGATGCCACTAGAATACAAAAAGAAGAACAAAAAAAAATTGATGAAGCACAACCACTTACTGAAGAAGAATTAGCAGAAAAAGAAGTTTTATTAACAAAAGTAAATTATTTATTTGCATAATTTGAATTCCATTAATTTTTTTATTTAACAAATAGGGTTTTACTAACTGGAATAAACGTGATTTTAATCAATTTATTAAAGCGAATGAAAAGTATGGTCGAGATGATATTGATAATATATCAAAAGAAGTTGAAGGTATGTACTATTGTTCTATTGCTATTTTATTATTTTCTATTGAATTTATATTTTAGGGAAGACAGCTGAAGAAGTAAGAGAATACAGTGCTGTATTTTGGGAAAGATGTAATGAATTCCAAGATATTGATCGAATTATGGGACAAATAGAAAGAGGAGAATCTAAAATACAACGTCGAGCTAGTATTAAAAGAGCTTTAGATGCTAAAGTAATAACTAATAAAATACTATATATTATAAATTAATTTTTTACATATATTATTATTAATTATAGATGACAAGATATAGAGCACCATTCCATCAGTTACGTATCTCATATGGTGCAAACAAAGGTAAAAATTATACTGAAGAAGAAGATAGATTTTTAGTTTGTATGCTTCACAAACTTGGGTTTGATAAAGAAAATGTCTATGAAGAATTAAGAGCAGCTATTAGGTACTAATTAATTAGTTATTCATTATAAATCATTTTATGTTGCAAATTAAATATATTTTTTCAGGTGTGCTCCTCAATTTAGGTTTGATTGGTTTATTAAGAGTCGTACTGCCAATGAACTTCAAAGGCGATGTAATACTCTAATTACTTTGATTGAGAGAGAAAATCAAGAATTAGAAGAAAAGGAAAGAGAACAGAAAAAATTACTAAAAAAGAATTTGAAACCAGCGCCTTCTCCTGCTCCTGTTAAAAAAAAAATTGATAAGGTCGATAAGGTTGATGCTGGTCAAGGAGATTCTAAATCTCCAGTTCCGAAAAAGAAAAAGAAATAAACTATCTTTAAGTTTCATATACTTTTTTGCTTAATTTTACATAATTGTGTTTAAGTCTGTAATATTCTTTGATAGTTAATTAAAAAATAAAATGTATCATGATAGTTTTTTTTTTAATTAAACTTGTGTACATTTCACTGACCAGTAATTTTTAATTTTATTTCTTATCGACCGTTCAGAATGCAAAAAAATTAGTTACTTAGTAATGATTTTACTCAGAATATTAATTGTGTATAATACCTATTTATATAAATATAAAATGAACATTAAATTATAATTTGGTAATCATTTTATTTTTATTTCTTTCAATCGTAGTGTTTCAAAAATATAATTTTTTAAATGTAAGTTATAAATAATGTCAGGGGGCTTATGATACTGTTTATCATAGGTTTTAAAATGTTTTATGAAATATCATCGAACATCAGATCATAAAAAAAATCCTATTCAATTATGTTATGAAGATTTTTTCTTATATCTTGAATATTCTATTAGTACCTATATTAAAACTATTAAAATTTATTAATTTAATCAATGTAATTAGTACCTTGTGGTTTTGTTATCAGATTGGTTTATCTACAATTACCAGCTTATATTAAAAAATTTAATTATAACCTTTAGACTTCATAAATAAATTTTAACATTTTTAGGAAAATTGTTTTACGAACTATTGTGATTAATAATTATTAATGTTTCTAAAAATAGTACACTAGATGTCAAAAATATCTTAATAACATAGGTTGAACTTTTAATATTCAAACTATTAAAATAAAAAAAATGATACTTCATTAATTTGGAGATATCAAACATTTCAAATATCTATAAGCAGCACTAACTTAATTATAATTGTTCGATGTTATTAAATTTCTCAAAATAAATAAGAGATGTAACTAGGGTTTTTCTTTTTGAAGAGTTCTATATTATATTTTTCATATCACTTAATTTATAACTTGTGTACTTTTTAATTTATAACTGTGTAGTTATACACATCCTATCCTCGGTAGTATAGTGGTAAGTATCCCCGCCTTTCACGCGGGAGACCGGGGTTCGATTCCCCGCCGGGGAGCTAATTGACACGGCCTCAAGTCGGTGGTAGGTTTTCCCTCGGTGAGGTGGCCGGTCAGAGTTGAATGAAATGGATCGTGTTTTTTTTTTTAAAAAAAAGAAGAAAAAAAGAAAAACCACGAAACCGATTTTTGTGCCAAAACTAAATAATTAATGTCTAATGAGAATTTGTTAAAATTCTAAATTCTTATTTCGTAAATATTTCAATCTATAATTAACATTTATAAATCATTTTTACAACTTTCCAGTAATATTTTGTTTATAGTTATAAATAATATATGAAGAATCTTATATCCAATTTTGAAATTTTATGTAAGTTGGTTTAACAACAAAAAGGTAGGGAATTTTTATTGTTTTGTCAAAATTTAATACTTAAACATTCATACATTAAACTAATTTTTTTCTTTCCTTAATCAGTAATAGATATGTATTATGAACTTTGTATTATATTTTATAGACTATCAAACCAAAATTATTTTATCAACTTTTTTAAAAAAAAGCTAAGAAAACATGAACATTTGATTTTTCTAAAAATGACTCAATATATATCTGTACAGTAAATATCTTTATCAAATAATGGATTCATAAATATGAATAATTTTAATAATTTGACATAGATTATTTTTAAAGAATTTTATCTGAAAGATTTTTTCTAAGGATAAATATTAGTAATTTTTCATACACATATAAGCAATGGAACCAATGTTTTCATAGTTATGATTTATTATTTGATTCATTTATTTTTGAATCTTTAGCACACCTGAAGTCTGGGTATTTTTTTTTAATTCAATATTTTTTAATTTAAATATAATGACCAACTTTGGACAAAATTTGTAAGTGCACATTTGAGGTACTTCAATAAATGTAATAGAAAATAATGTATATTATATTTTTCTAATGAAATCCATATTATATTTTCATCAGTCATATAATACACATAAATAGTTCATTTGAAAGCTTATTAATAAATTATTTTAAATATATGAAATCAAAATTAATTCAAAGTTATGCACCAATTAAATGTTTTCTATACCAAAAACGGGCTCTGAAATCATCTGAACAAGTTAAAAATGCTGCAGAATTTGGAGAGTGAACTATTGAACGAATTGGTCCATTGTGTCCTGAAAACATTATTAAATGAAAAATGATTTCTACATTAAACTAAAAATAAATATTAAAACATTTACCTAAAGATAATAACTGTTGTCGGGAGGCATTTCGAGCATTCCAAGCACACAAAGAAGTAGTGGCTTCATCCGGAAACATAACATACTCTTCTGTGTGATTAAATAATGCTTGTGTACGGTGCTCTTGTTTTCCTATTGAGTCATAAAATTCATTTTAATACATCTAAACTTTGAGATAGTACAAACAATAAGTTACCTGTTGTTCCAGCCCCAGTGTAGGCAATTAGACACCTACTAGTGGATAACTCCCAAAGTTTCACTAACGAATCTTTACCCGATGATAATATGTACTAGAAAATAATTATATATGATTTTTATACTCTATTCAAAATAAGATGGTATCTCGGCAGCAACCTATTTTTATCAGCTACTGTCTGACCCTTTTCCTACCTAGTAAAATAATAATTTGAGTCTGATTGTGTTTACAAAAACACTTCAGTCATATAGCACTGCATACAATTAACAATAATGATGTACAGAATAAAACAATACAACACCACACTATATATTTTAAATTATGTGTTCATGTCAGCTATCAATACTCTTATTACACAAATCTCCTGTAGATGCCTAGGCGCAAGATCACTACTTTGAAACAAACGCCCATGCGCAGAAGTCAGCCATTGAGATACAATCTCATTTTAAATAAAGTTTAATTCATAAAAAGTACCTTTAATAAAACGTTTTTACCTTTCCATTTCTAGAAAATGTCACAGAACACACTTGACTACCATCATGTGCTTTTTCAAATGTGTTAATACATTTATTGGACACAGCATCCCATAATTTAATAGATCCATCTCGACTGGAAGACACAAAGTACCTGGCGCTTGGTTCATAACTAAAACATTATCAATAAATATAATTTTATTAATAATAAAATAGTTATTGAACAGGAAATTAATAATATACTTGATAGATGTAACAGGACCAGTATGTTGATGAGTAGGAAGTGAACAAACGTAACACTGAACTGTATTTATGTCGTAAAGTCTTATGACAGGACTATTGGTACCCATTACTAAAAAATCTCCAAGTGGATGAAAACTTATACATGTTATTGGTTCAACATCCTGTAAATTGGTAAAAATTTAATAACAATATTAAGTAATAAACGCATCAACACTAATAAAATATTACATTTATAGTCTTGAAAGCTTTTTTTACGGATGTTTTTGAATAGTCAAAAAGTTTAACATGACAATCTCGAGAACCCGAAGCCAAAATCGGTTTATTGGGATGAAATTCTAAACAAGTCACTTCTTCTAAATGGTCATATAAAGTCCGAATCACAGGATGCCCCTGTCCTTCTTGATTATCATTACTGCTGATATCATGCGCTTTAGCCAACATTCTTTCAACATCCAAAATCTGTATACAAAAATACAATGACAAAATTGTTAAAATGTATTTAATGAAAAATATAATTACTTTGATTGATGCATCACTACTTCCTGTTGCAATTAATTGTCCATCAGGACTAAAAGCGCCAGCTCGACATGCCCCTTTATGTGATGTCACATATACAGTTTCATAGAGTGATGGTTCAGGAGCAGTACAACTTACATCAGTCTCAAATTCCAAATCTAATTAAATGTAAAGAATTAATACACAACCTTGATAAAATGTAATATATTTATTAAGGCATACCAATTCCTGGCCCGATCAACATTTGTTGGATAGGATTTAAGTTCAACACTTGTTCAGATTCTTTTTGTCTATCAGTTTCATGCTGCAGACCTTTGGCCACCACACTCATAAGTCTATCCGAAGGAGAACACGGAGGGTCAGCATTCACTTGGGTGGCCAAACTCGAAGCAATAGTTGAATGACCATCATAAAAGAGTTGACTAAATGAAATACAAATGAGCTACAGATGCAATGACCTGACTGATAGTATCGTAATATTATTTTACCTTATGATGAGTCTATACAAATTGTCCCTATTCTTAATACACATTTCAGGTTTAGCACTATTAGTTTCACTTCTCATCTTGAGCTGATTGAAGAGACTATTTCATGAAAATACTTAATAATTTAACCAAACGACATGAATTTTTGATTTGCAATGCGTTTTCACTTTTCAGACCATTATAATAATGTTAAAAATTACTATGAAAATTTAAAGCAGTAATAAAACTTACAAAATGCATAAATGTAAGCGAATGGTAAATTAATTCTCACTCTACTGGAACGCTGAACGGATAGTTTGAAATGTGATAATAGTAAATAATATCAATTTATAAATTAAATTTCAAATGAATTACGTTTGTAACTTCTTGTACCATACTACTTTTCACGAATAGAGACCTTGGTCATATCCGTGACCATAACACATAAGAGATAAGAAACCAAACTAGCACCGTCAAAAAACTACACGGTTAAATCCTTACCGGTTGCGCCCAGGTCTTTTGTGTAATAAACGTGTTATAATGATTTTATCAAAAAAATTTGAATATATAAGGCTCATTAATTATTTTTAAGCAAAAAAATCACGAATTCATGCATGTTTATCGATATTGGTATAAATTGTTCTGGCTATTACAAATAATATCATTGATATAATAATTATCATGTTATCAGTTGTGTTGATTTCAAACAATGATGAGTCATTTTTAAACGTACGAATTTCGTTTAAAAAAATATCTCATATTCAAAAAACTCATATGCACAGGAGTGTTTTTAGACGTTGAACAGGCTTTCGATTGAATTTGGCACCAAGGGCTCCTCCATAAAATAAAAGCTCTATTCCCCCCATACTTGTATCTACTTATAAAATCTTATCTTAGTGATCGCCACTTCTCTGTGCGCTCGAGTACAACCTTCTCAAATATTTCCACAATAGATGCTAACGTCTCACAAGGGGCAGTTATTGCACCATTCCTCTTTAACATGTACACCGTGGATCAACCCACTGCCCAAAATACAATAGTAGCCGACTTTACAGACGACAAAGCACTACTAGCATGCCATTCTGACCCAAACATAGCTGCCTCCTTTATACAAACCCATCTCGATCTACCGTAACTCGATCTAACGTAGTCGTCAGCTGAGACACCTACTGCCATCTAAACACATCCATCTGATGAACAAACTACTTATATATAAAATGCTACTTAAACCAATATAGGTCTATGGTATACAGCTCTGGGGATCAGCAAAACCCACTAACATCAATAAAATACAAACCCATCAATCCAAGACCTTAAGACAAATCACTAAAGCACCATATTACGTTTCCAATCGTACACTCCATCACGACCTCTCCATACCTTTTGTTACAGACGTGGTTAGAATTCACTATAAAAGATTCCATAACCGCCTTTTAAACCACAGAAACCCACTCATGAACGATATCTCTTCCCTGACCGTTCCTGGAAATCTTCCCAAACGGCTAAATCGAAAGTGGTGTAGAAACCTACTGACCAACTAATTTTAATACTCATGTTTTCTTTCTTGTAGTACCTCCACGGGAGGCTTCTATGCTCCGTCATTACACTGTCACTTTTATTTTTAATTATTTTTTTTTATTTTTTTTATTTTTCTCTTTTTACTTACTCTCTTATACTATGTCCTCAATTGTTCTTATTGTTTTCTTTGAACAGATTAAATAAAAAAATGTATAAAAAAAAAAATATAAACTAATTCAAAATTGTACGCTCTATCCAATCATGTTAAGTACATATTTATGCATCAAATATTTGTTTAGATACAATTAAATTTGTGTATACTTTGTAAATTACGTCAGTGACGTATTTACGGGGGAGGGGGAGTCCAGGGGTACTGGAACCCCCCAGAACCTCTCCAAAAAAATAAAAAATTAATAAAAATTCTTACATATTTGCAGAATTGGCTGTGTTAAACATTCACAGGGAAGTTGAAATTACTGTTGATGAAGTGATAGAGGAGTTGGCCAAAAAATCGAGACAACTGGAATTTATTTTATAACAATACTTTATAATATATAATGCTAAATACAATATATAGGTACATATATATAATATTAAATAAGACTATACGATTATTACATTATATATTTAGTTCAACTTTCTCCAAAAACTGTATATAGTTTATATTAATTATGTATAAACTGTGGAACCCCCCCCCCAGAAAAAATTGAAAATACGCCACTTAAATACCTAGTATTCGAAATATTCATACAATTAATTTTTCCATTATAGGTTAAAATTAATTCGACTTCATTCTATTCACATGTACATAGTATACATGATGGCAGTAAATAAATAAATTTACTTAGGTATATGTATTTTATTTGTTACTGCTATCCAGTGGCGTATTTTAAGGGGGGCGAAGGGAACAAACGAATTTAAGGAATCGATTATATGTGAGATACACATTTCAATTTTTTTTAATGTGGATTATTTTGTAACGAAACCAAATTACGCGTGACTGTTTAATGTAATATTGTAATTGGACTTTTTGTCAGGTCCGTACTTAGTGAAAAATCAAATAAAACAAAAGCGTTACTTTCAAAACACAGACAGATGTTAAAAAAGACCTAAACAAAAGTCAATTTTAAGTGGATCCGGTATTAGATTAAAAAAAAAAATTCACAAATATTAAGGACTCACCTGATTTAAATACTACCAATAATTTTACTTGTAAATTTTGAGCCTGAATTAAATGATTAATTTGAGTCACCCCCTTCCCCCTAGAAGTAAGTCTAAATACGCTGCTGCTACTCTTAACTACACTTGTAGTTAAGTATTCCAAAAACACTGTGATACTTAAAACATAAAAAAAATTTTTGGTAACCGTTGATAATGTATGATGTACCAAATATGACACAAATACAAATGTTTATAATCATTGATAGTGCATAGTGTGCCAAATATGGCACTTACAAAAATATTGATAAGTGACTATTATGCATGATGTGCCATATTTAGCTCATAATAAACTTAACCTTATAAATTCCAAACTCTTAACTTGACGACATTTTGTTTACTATTTTTCCTATAATCGGAGAAATATTTTAATGAAGCACATTTTTTCGAGTCAAAAATAAAAAATCATGCAGAAAGGAGTTAATGAATAGTATAAAATATATTAATTTTTTTAGGAAGAAATTAGATCGAATTCATGAATCATGAATTATTTTCAGTAGATTATAAACGTGAACACTTGAAAACAAAGGATTTTCAAAATTAATTAAACTAAAAAAAATTGCATTACAGCTAAGGAGACATCTCGTTTTTCATATCTTTATCCCGTTGTCCCTCAGTGAATCTTCGAGACACTAAAATAACCAGTTTTCAAAAAATAGTAAAGAACAACGATGGTCAATTTTAATTTGTTAATGAATTATTATTTCTATCATATTTAACTAGTATGTGTACCATGAGCGTATTTAGACTTACTTCTAGGGGGGCGACTCAAATTTTTTTTTTATTTCCGGCTCAAAATGTGCAAGTAAAATTGTTGACAATATTTAAATCAGGTAAACCCTTAATATTTGTGGTTTTTTTTTTTTAATCTAATGCCGGATTGATTTAGAAACGACTTTAGTAAAGTTCTTTTTTAACATCTGTCTGTGTTTTGAAAGTAACGCTTTTGTTTTATTTGATTTTTCACTAAGTATGAACCCGACAAAAAGCCCAATTCAGTATTCATAACCACGCGTAATTTGATTTCGATATAAAATAATCCTTAAAAAAATTTGAAATTTGTATCTCACATAAAATAAATTCCTTAAATACGGATTCAAGGGGGGGGGGGCGATCATTCCTTTGTCCCCCCTAAAATATGCCCATGATGTGTACATGTGACGTGTTTATACTGTATTACTACATGATGGACAGTGACGAGTGACGACGACGAATAGCAGGGCTTTTTGTGGTGTACCGGGATAGATAACTACACTATAATAAAATATATATGTATAAGTAATACATAAACACCGCAATATTACCGCAAACACAAAATTATTTTTTATAATTCAATATTTCAGTGTTATAATAATGGCTCTTTATGTAGATGTTAATAAATATTGAAATAAAAGTCAAAAATTAGTTATTTATAAATAAGTGTAATTATTCAATTAACTTTTTTTATTCCTTAAGACTATAGTCGAACCTAATTTTATTAATAATTAGAAAATAATTATTAGGTATTAAAAAAAAAAAGAAAAAATTTTTAATCAAAATTACTTTTTTTTAATTAACTCACCTCATATTATAATATGTTTAACTTTTTTTATGAGTATTTTGATGTTTATTAATTTTAAGTGGTGAAACAGCAAATTTTAAGAGGAAAAATAGAAAATATGTTAATCATTTTATTATTAAGGAAATATAAAATGTTCAGTAATGAAAATTGACGGGTTATATTACAATGAGAGTTAAAATACATAAAAAAAAAAAATGTGTTTAATTTTAATTAGACTTGCCTATGTATTAATATAAAGTTAATTTGAATTAAAAAGTCATAAATTCAATATCATTGGTATTTTAAATTTAATAATTTTATTATTATGTTTAATGTTTGGATAGGTATAGGTAATAAGTAACTACTCCAATAAGTCATACTACAATATTTAATTTAAATTTTATCTATAATTTTATAGTTGCAACTTCAATGGTTAAATTTGTTATAAAAATTAATAAATCTATATTAATAACAAAATGCAAACTGTAACATATTTCACCAGTCTTACATTTAAATTTACAAATGGAACTGAAATACATAGGATTTTTTTTTCGAAACTATTAACTTTTAATTTGAAAACAAAATAACTATTTAAAAAAAAAATCTAACATTTTAATTTAAATAAATGTATACTGATGAGAACATTTAAATTTCAGTAATAAAAAAAAAAGTGATTAAATTAATGAATAATAGGTATTTTCATAAGTCTTAACTAGTAATTATAGCACATTAGTTCTTAATACTAAGTAGAAAACTCTAAAATGTATTTAATCTTAAAAAATGCATCACTATTTACTATATTAATATAAAAAAACATTATTCATTAGTTGATCTAAGGTTTGAATAAAAAATTATAACCTACTTAAATCATTCAAATATAGACATTTTATAAGGCATCACTAATTAAAATGTAAACTTAACATTTAATTAGTAATTACATAAAAAAATATTATTAAAGCATATTAAATTAAAATTGACAAGCCGAAAATAAAATGGATATATTATTTTTATTTAGAACTATTACTATTAACTGTAGTACCACTAGCACCAGTCTTTTCATGTCGACTTTTATATTTGGCGATCTCCCGACACACTTTCCTGATGGATGACGGAGAATAACCTAAGTCTAATAGTTCTAACATTGCACTGTAAACAAAACCATATTACACGATTAAAATATGTACAACCAATAAAATCACTTCTAGTAACTAATGTATTTAAAAGTGGTATTCCTAGAAGCTATCCATAATAAACCATCTTAGCATTAATAATACAATAGTTTATTATTAAATTTTGTATAAGACATTTTATTTTAGTAACTATAGAACACAATATATTAAACAAGTAGAGAAGTAAATAAATAAATGTAAATATTTTAAAAATATGAATCATGTAATATATAAAAAAAAATGTCTCAGCAACTGTGATGAAATTAGCAATATAATACCAATGCTTGTATAACATACAATGGTCATAGTTTTGGTGTTTGGCATATTAAAAAATGTCAAAGCTACTATAAGTCACCTTTTTCATGTAATAAGACTGAGATAAAAATATTCAATATTCTAGGTTGTACTTTAGAGACAAGCGTTAATAAAAATTGAGAACATTTTATCAAAATATACCATATAATATAATAAACAAATAATGTTTTACCTACCTTACAACATTGGGTGCAACTTTGACGCCAGCCAATTGGGCAAGCTCAACAAAATCTGGTATGTTACTGCACTCTGTTCTAATAAGAAGAGTTTAAATAAAATAAATATTGATAGAAGGAATTTCAAAATTAGATACTTTTATGAATAAAAACAATAACAATAAAATTAATAATTATTTTAATAGTAATAAGATATATAAGACACTTAAAATTACTATTTTACTAGAAATTAAAAGACATTTTTTATAATTTGATTTTTCAAATAATATTGTAACTATTTAAGTTGAACATGTTGAAAAAAAAACATAAACTCACGTCTAAATTCTTCAAGTACTAATGATAACATTCATACTATACATTAGTAAATAATAAAAATAAAAGTATATTTTAAAATAAGCTTGATAAATTGCAAAAATATTAGATAATTATAAAAAAAAATGAAAACTTAACTTATTGATAAAATATACATAAGCTTTTAAGTGATATTTTTTTAGACAGTAAAACAAATAAAACATTAAGCCTTATCCTCTTTTTCTTTATTGTACCGCTCAAGTTCCTTAAGAAATTGTGCTTTAGGTTTCATAATATTTGGTCGATCTCCTCTACATTTTGGGCAAAACCATTTGCCTTTAGGTTTTGTTGATAATGAAACACATGAAAAATGAAACCATTCTATTGGACATAAATCATTATCGCAACATATCATTTCTCCGTATGATATTTGATCACAAAGACAATAAGTCGGTTCATCAGGATCAACTGCTATGTCATCATCATCATCCAATGATGGTGAATTATCCTTCTGTTGTTTCTTGTATTTACCCTTCTTTTTAGTTTTAGTTTCAGTTTTCTGAGTAGTTTTTTTCAAAGTTACTTGAGATTGTACTTGTGCTGTTGCTGTAGCTCTTGGCAAAGGAGTATGGGAATGTTGTAAAGCTGAAATGGCCACAACATCATCAGAAATTTCTTTGTAATCTGGTTCATCTGCTCTATTTCTTCGTGGTCGTTTTACAATTTTAGCATCATTGTTTGATTCATTACTATCATTATCTGTGTTGCGTTTTTTCAGTTCTTTAGTCATAGAACTAGTACTGGTGCTAGGTATGCTTCGTTCTTTAGAACAATTACCTGTCTCAGTTTTTTCTTTAATACTTGGCTTAGGAATATCAAGTTCTTTAGCAGAGGTCAAATACTTCCTACCATTTTCCAAACCTCTGACTTTATCATCAACCAAGTCATTTATTTGTTGTATAATCTGCACTTTTCTATCGCCTAGATCTAATCCAGACACTAATAGTTTAGTTAACTTATTCATATTGTACGAAGATAAGGGACCATTAGAACTATCAATCACTGCTCTGATCTTCAATAACATTTCCTGATATTCCAAATCACATTGGCGCATTTGTGTCACGTGACGTTGTATATCCAGTGGTAAGTTTTGTGCACAGTCAATATAATCATTATAGTAATCCAAAGCTCTATTCGTTCGATTAGTCATTTTTTTTTTTTTTTTTACACACGACACTAACTACAAACCTTGATATTCACTATTCGTATTTCGACAAATTAACAAATAGAAAATAATGATTTAAACCGAACTTACTTCTGGAGAACCATGTCAAGTCGTTTATTGAATCTCCTTCAACAAAAAATTAATTTTTAAGTAAGAGTAGATAGAATCCTAATTATTAATAATGGCGATATTATATAGATTAATAAAGTTTTCAAAGGCCACCGACAACACTGACAACAACTAATAAAAAACACAACCACAGAATAGATTACAACTACAACATGATTTTCTGATATTTCTGATAATAGCACTCATAGCCAATGAACATGCACGATTATTTAGGTTTTAAGGTTGGTAATTGTGTACGATAAAATTTAAATTGAACTAAACAATAGTTATCAAAATTCAATAGATTCCAATTTCGATCAAATTATGACTTAGGCAATTCAAGTTAAAGGTATTAAAAAATCCTAAGTAGTAATTTAATAAATGCCAAAATAATATTTTTGGAATTTTGCATTCAACAAAATTGCATATGAATATTTTAATGTAAGAAAAACAATTTTATTCCTACAATTTTACTATATAAAAAAATAATAATAATGATCAACAATCATTGCTATTATCTGTACACAAAATATATGAAACTATTCTGTATTATATTATTTATACATAATTAACATATTTTTTATAGTTGTGGATGGTAGTGGTAGTTGTATTATCTAAACCACGGTTTAAGATACACTGTTTAAGGTATATCTTAAACCGTGGTCTAAACTATTGATCGAATGAGTGATAACGATAATGTACTAATGTCCGATAAAAACTCGACATTTCCTTGAATGAAAAATCGACAATTACAATTGCTAAATATTGTAAAACGAAAAACGTATTTAAATGTCTTTAATTAAAAATGGTGTTTAGAATCTTAAAATATTTGATGAACCATCAACAATTAGTGGATAAGTTAGCAGACTCAAATTTAATGAGAAAAATTGCACGTTTTATTGTTCACAAAGCAATTCGTGTAAAATCTTTGACCGAAGATATGAAATCTGAACAATTCAAAAAGGCATTGCAGGATATAACCGAGAAGCTTAAGGATAAAAAGGACTAACTAAATGGTAAACAATAATTAATTTTGTTTTGCGTTATCAGATATTTAGTTGTACAACAATGAGAGACCATACAGTAATATTTTTGGGGTCAGAACCTGCAAAAGACAAAGATGCCATTACACGTGCCTTATCATATTTTACAATGCCTGCTGCTGATTTACCAAAACGGATATTGCTATCATTTACTCCACCACTGCGCTCAAGATTGGTATATGTCGACTTCTTAGGACCATGTTTGGCGTTCATACTGTTAGCTACAATCCTTGGATATGGACATGCTTATAAAATGCCATCAGCTGTCTACCACAGATCACCAACTATTATGTTAGCTATATACTGTCTATCAATGCCAGCAATATGTTATATTTTGACTCGTTTGGGAAAATCTAGTATATCTTTTTTACAGATATTGTCATTGTTAGGTTATGGTCTGTACGGATATGTTTTTACCCTGTTCATTAGTTTATTATCTGATGAAAGAAGTAATGTAATATTTTATTTAGCTACAATACTATTTACAGGTACTAGTGTTTTCAGAACATGTCTTATAATATTACTAACTATTAAAATACCTGTTATTAGACTATTAGTTTGTAGTACTATTGCCATTTTACAAGTGTTATTTATTGTGTTTTTGTATTTTACATTTGTTCATTCAAGCTTTGCGTTTCTTTAACATTACATTTTTAAGTAAAAATTACTTAAATCATTTTAAGCTTCATCATATGTATATTTATCTAACTATACAAACCAATTAGTTTTAATGAATTATTTTTAAAATTAAAATTATTAGAAATAAAATTGTTATAGTTGTAATTATTTTTCCTACAAATATAAAATTTGTCATCACATAAGAATTGTTGGTTTCATTATTGAATGTCAAAACTCCATAAACACAAATTATCTTTGGTTTTGTCATAGATACGCATAAGTAAATGTAATCATCAAGTGCAGTTTTGGGAAATATTGTTATTTGAGATACATGACCATTGGTTGAAATAATACAATTATTAGATCTATAAATTCAAATTAAAAATAACAAGACATTTATAAACATTATTGTACAATTACTATTTATATTTTATTATTATGAATTTAATATTCTATTATAAACTACCAAATTGAGTACATATTATTGTACTGAATTAAATATATAGGTAACTCAACATTTTTTTGCACTGAAATAGTAATAAGAAACAAGTCAGTGCAGACCCTAGAAGAGGTAAGCCGTGCGATCGCACCGGGCCCCGCGCTTGTATGGGGCCCCACAAATTGTGTATTACGAATATCACTATATCTATAAGTAAAAATAATATAGTCCCAGTACGCAAATCGCAACCCGTGTGGTCTTGTGGTTTTCTCAGGAAACGGGTTGTATCGACGAAAATTTAGACAGTACCAACTACGCATATTTTTGAAATATTGCACGCGCATGCACTTGTAAAATTGTTTATCGTCGACGATGGTTCGAAATATTATTTAGTTATATAATAATATGAACAAACATAAATTTTTATAAACAATTAATAAATTAACATATATATGGGGCCCCGCAAAATTCTGCACTGGGCTTCGAAAACCGTCGAGCCGGCACAGAAACATGTAATTTAAGTTTAGATGATTATTTTATTTTTAATCTTAAATTATGTTTTATTATATTTTATATGACTTTGTATTAAAAAATGTTGTAAAGTTCAAGTTGAGAAAACCATAATATTTTAAAAATGCATGTTGTCTTAAAAAGTAAATTTGGGTTCAAATTCAAAAGTTAGTTATATTATGTTAATAAATTATATTAATACTTACATTTTACAGTTAATTTTATGTAGCATTGGTTGATCATATTTTAGCCATGCAATGTCTAAGTCCTCATATTGAAGTTCATTATTGATAATACAGTTTAATTCTAAAATGTCTTCTTCACTAGTCATTGTTACTTCATTATACGACATACCTGTTTAAAAATTAACAAGTATAATAGATATAGATACCATCAGTGGTGTAATCTGGGCGGTCATTACTCCCCTATATATAGTTAACAATATTATTCCACCCCCCTACCAAACACATTCCGAAATTAATTTTTTTTTTAAATGTTTACCCTCCTTCCCTCAAAAACAAATCCTGGCTGTTTCACAGGGTACCTCATTTTATAAGTAAATAATATACATATTTATTATATTTTATTATATATACCTAATAAGTTATGTGAAAATATATTAAAGTCATGCGATGGGTTAATTGCAAAATCATTAGGATTTAATATATTATTATTAAGTCTTATGTATCCAATAATTCCTCGAAGTTCTGTTGAATTTATTTTGTCCTAAATATTAAACAAATTAAAATTAGCTTTATTTAGCAATCAAATTGATGATTTATAATTAAATGGAAAATTTATTTATAATATTAGTTGTATTTATATAGATTATTAACCTCATTATTCCCAATGTACAAATAATTTTTACACAGGTCATTATTTGATATGTCTGCAGGCATTATCAATGTACGTTTTTCGCCATTTACATCTATAATCCAAGTATTTTCCTGTTGCTCAATTTCCACGTGAATCCAAGATGAATCAATTTCCTCAAATTGTATTAGTACCTCATCATAGTAATCATCTAATTTAACAATTAATTTTATTATATCATTATTAATTTCTACCAGCATATAATCTGTTGTCATCCCTTTAATTGACATTAAATTTCCATTGGCTAAAAGTTCAAATCTCAAATACAATTCCAACTGAAATTATATTATAAAATATTATACTTATTATCTTACACTTGTTGTGTATAATAATATAAATCACTATTTTTTTATCACAGACCTTAATAAAATGACTCTGCTGTGGACAAGGAATTTTGATTGTCTTGGATAAATCTGAGTATGATTGTTCTTCTGACAATTCAAATATTGTATTGAAAGTTGCATATGGTGAGTACATATCTGAAAACTAAATGCGAATTGTAAATATATTTTTAAAATGGAAACAGACAGTTATGGTGGTTACTTTATTGTTAATTGTTAATGCATAAGGTAAAAAGTTAACATATAGCTTTTCAATGTATCCTTCAAATTCTTCTCCGATATTCATCACTTGATCAAGGTTCATAATTGAAACTAAATCGGTACATTTTATGCGTTTTGAAATGTTTTTATTATTTAATTGTAATGTTACTTTATGATTGCTGATCGAGAAAACGACATCATTCCAACCAATCTTAATAAAATAAAAATTACTGCAAAACGTATTACGAAACTAGGTACCTATGTACCTACTGATTAGGTACTTTTAACATTAATTAAATATCAGTTGGGTAAATAACACATATTGTGACACAATTATTATACTGAATTGTATTAGGTAATTAAAATTTAATTTGCACTCTTTCTTACTTTTATGGTCGACGGACTGAGTAACGTAACATTACATCCATGAATATTGACTTCTAAAAACAAATGACAATCGATCAAGCTCAAGCAAACGCTACCACAATCATTGCAATCGTCGAAGAATCGTCGCAAAATGGTTCCAGACATATCAAAAGGATAAAACCGTAAAAAAATGTTCAACATGCTCATATTTACTGCTGTGGCTGCATATTTGATGTGAGACAGTTTGTCAAATGTAGCCACCATAATCGGCGGTCCTATATTATAAATGTTAAAAAATGAGTAGATACTTGTATCTATACGATTCATTAGCTATAAGATGTGCACTCGTGTATGATTATAATTAACAATATCTACAACCGACGTTACGTTTAATATACGAGTACAATAATGAATTTGCAATAGTATTGTCTCGGTTACGATTTATGTAATTATTGTATTTGTGCACACGGGTATATGGGTAGGTATCTATATGCGTTATACAGTCTTACCTTTGCATGGTTCCACATGACAAATGCTGGTCTGTACAGATTCTCCAGAGCAGAAATTTCCAGATCCTTCTGGTTCTGGTCGGCTACAACTGCGCATCCTATATCTAATGCCCTTGTCACATTTTGCAGAACATGGGCTCCATTTTTGCCAATCGGACCATCCACCATCCACTGTATACGATCATCAAACACGCAGTATTATGATTTTTTTTTTTTTTATCTCATCTAGCCATGTACAAATATGATGTAATATATTTTACCCCCTGGTTCATAACATTGACTGATTTCGGTGTGTGGCCCTAAACACGACGTATAAAAACGATCATTTGGGCGTCGACAAAAGCGTTTACGGACAATGATACCGTTGCCTTGTCGAACATCACATTGTGACCATTTCAACCATTTACACCAAGTGCCACCTGTTTTATAATAAAAGAGGTATATAACACTGAACAATATAGTTAGGTAATGCATAATGGATACTATACTAATAAGTCGCAAGTGCAAACATAATGCTAGTTAAATTTTAATTATATACTTCTGTCAGCTGTACAAGATGTTCCAAAACAATTTTTAAATTCTATAAAGTTCCCGGAACAGTTTAACGACGTTCTTGAAGGCTTAGGATGATCGCAATACCGCAAACGGTATTTGATACCAGAACCACAGGCAGCAGTACATTTTGACCAGGAATTCCATCTACTCCAGCCTCCTTTTACTTAAAAAGATAGCATAATAATGTACTGCACTTATATGCTTGCATAATTTTACAAATTATTTATTACCAGGACAGCCTATATTATGTTTAATGCACAAAAACGCATTCCAAAATCGATCCTTTATGTAACAGAGTAAATTGCTAAGTGTAGGTAAATATAATAATCGATCAAATGTATACTAACCGTATTGTACCCTAATACATTTTTCACGGTGTAGTAGTCACAAAAGTCTAAAATACATTTATCTAGAATAATACGATTTGTTGTGTTTTCAAATCCGTACAAATAGTTCAGTTCATCCGTTTTAAGTTGGTTTCCTTCAGCTATGTGTATGGTGTAATTTTTAATCGTACATCCTTCAATGTGACAAGTTTTCCACTCGCGGTTGAACCCGCAAAACATGTCACTTGATGTGGTGCTCCGATACCGAGACATGTAGCCAGTTTCACCGCACAATCCCTTGCAATCGGTCCATCAACAAATTGTCGATTGGGAGAAAAATAAATAAATAGTTAAAATAATAATAAATAAATAATTGTAATTTGACAGAAGCAACGGAATACGTTTGATACTGTGTTAAACGAAATACATGATGGTACATGCGGACGAATATGAATATTACGTTTTCCAAAACTTTTAAAATAGCAAAGGATCTCATAAGATCAGTTGATAAAGAAGAAGATATATCAATTCCAAACATTTTTAGACATCAAAGCCATCGAATTAATGTCGTTAGTAATGACTCATTACAAATTCAGCTGAAAAATATTACCATATAACAATAGCTATTCCATTTATCGGCGTCTTCATTGAACAACATCAAGTAAGGTTTAGTAATTATAAAAAATAAATGTCTTCATTGCACAAGTTAATACTAAAAATATGCAAATCAAGATAAACAACTTTAAAAAATATTCATAATTTCTAGATTTGGAAATATTGACAGTAAAAATTCAATTGTGAAAAAGAAGATGGACTAACAAACCAAAAAATATCGTCTAAATTCGGCTATTGAAACGTACATTAACTGTATTCCTAAACACTTTCCGAACCAATATTTTCTTTTGAAAGTATTAGCTTCATTGCTAGTTTTGATTCATATACTAGAACGCACATTTTCAACCATGAAAAGATTAAAAATCTATTAATGTAACTCATTTCACCAAGAATATTTTACAGCATTTTTGAGTATGCACAGACATTAAAATCGATCAAGGTGATGTGATTAATTGTTTTACCAAAGAAAAAAAGGTTTACACTTTGCGCTGTAAAAATTCAAAATTTAAAATGTAGTAAGATTATCATGTCATTATATAAAAACACCTTAGATGCATACGATATAATAAAAATGCAGTTTTTTTTTAATGATAAATGTTAGTCTTTTTTTTTTTTAACTAATACGAAAGTATAGTATTAATATTAGTAATCAGTTCTAGCTATAGCCTTGTAGATGTCAGTAGTATTCTCAGGGGAAGAGCAAATGGGGCAGACCTAAATTGTTATTTATTATTTATGTATGCTAGGAAAATATATTATTATGAATACATGTATAAAGTTCACTACCCCCACCCATAGGCGGACATTTGGTTGAATTTTGGGGGGCTATAATAATTCAATGTAAAATAATCCGCAAGGGCTTCGCCCCCCACACTCCCTTCCCATGCACAAGTAAAACTTATTACTATTCAAAATAAAGATATGTTTAAATTGTATTAAAAAAACACTAAATAATGTATATTTAAAAATAATTAATATTTTATTTTAATGACAAATATCTATTTGTATCAGCAAAGATATTCAAAATATCATCGCTTTTTATATTTTTCGATATATCTTTTTCAATATATAGTATTGAAAGATCGCTGAACCTATCATGAACCAACGATATCCTTAGCCAATTTTTTATTTTTCTTATTGCACTGAAACTTCTTTCGCAAGTAGCCGAACTAATTAGTATTGTTAATGCTATTGTAAATAGTTTTTTATTATTTCTTATAATACGATTTTCAAAAAAAACGAGCAAATAATTATAAAAATAATGAATAACATTTCTAACAAAGTTTCGATTTTGAGGGGGTTATTAAAGCTAAGCCCCCTATGTCCACCTATGCCCCCTTAACAGTATAAAAGTATCTAGGGACGCCACTGGTAGATGTATGTATACATCACTATTATGGTAAAACTACAATTATTATAATTCACGTAAGTGTTAATACTCGTTCCAAGAAATCCGATTTGTTGAGTTGTATTTTCCGTGGTCGTCGTAAGCTCGAAACCGCTGCGTGCTTTCTAAATACGACGAAAGAGTGCGTTAGCCACGACAACGACGATTGAATGGAGCTCATGGTAAAAATAGACACACAAAAATGTTCACTCACCACAATAATAATTAACGTCCATAATGAGAATATATACAAGTAAAATGTACATCCGTAACGACATATTATCCGAATTATTTAATTATTTATATTATCATTTGTATTATTATACTTCATACTCGAAACATTCTTTCCGGACTACATTGAACATAATTTGGCTCCTTCCTAATAGAATATCCCGAGGATCCTGACCATAGACCATAATACTCTATGGTCCTGACCGACAAGAATATCTATTATTGAAATCAACACATAGACCATAGACCTATTAACTAGTTAATAGGTCTATGATATGGAAAGTATAAACGCGCAATGGTCAACGGGTTCGCGTCGTCTATGAATATTGTGCGTTCGCGGTACAATAAATATTACTATAATAATAAGTAGGATTTGGGGCTTGTTGCATTTACATATTGGTTAATAATGATTGCAGAATAGTCTAAGTGAGATATAAATTAATTTTTAGCATAACGGACTGAAGTACAAACATTTCAATTGGATTTTTTCGCATATATTTCCATTTTCTGAACAAAACGCATAATTGACAAATGTTGGCAATTTAATTGTTATTTATAGTATATTTACGCATTTTTCGTTTGATGTTAAGTAAATTTATTTTAAAGGTTAACCTTATTTTTTTATACTTTCATGCATCGATCAATATACATAACCATAGAACGAGTCGAGATAGGACAAGGGGAACTAGATAACCTAATTGTTCCTACGCATACTATCGGTTATCGTAAATCGTTTAGAAAATGTAAAAAAAAATAAGAATTCGGTTAGTTTTTTTTCATTGTAGGAGAAGATGAAGAATATTAAATCGTACGTACACAGTAATATAATGTATATAGTGTTATTTTTGTAGAAAAATACTAATTAAAAAAAAATTAAGTAATCAAACTTTTTAATTATCATTAAAAAAATAATCAAATGCATATCTTTGCGCATATTTCGGTTATTTTAAGTGCATATTTCCTAAAATGTTTGTACAATAAGCCCCGAACCCTAATAATAAGTCATCTACTTTTAGGTGGAACACCAGAAATACCGACCGTGTTTTCCATACTCTTTGAGATGTTATTTGATAAGGATTTAAAATGTTTATCACATCGTATAGATTCAAATCCGAAAGCGTATTAATGTTTTCATTTTTGAAAAATGTTTTCTAGGTTTTTCATTCTTTTTTTTCGTTACGTTATTAATAGTATTTTATTTCTTAGTTCCAAGTTCCGAAATACTTTTCCGCCGTTAAAAATTTACTGGACGAAATGTCCACTAAAGTAGATTTAAATAATATTAATCTTGAAAATCTTAATCAATTGACCAAAGAAGTAATTTATTTTTTTGTGTACTGTTTCGGTTACAATTATTAAAATATTCATGATTTTATTTTATAGGAATTAATTAATATAGTTTTAGACCTGAAAGAGCAGAAGGGAACCCATAAAAAGTGTGTCAGAAAAACGATAAAACCGAAGCTAAACAGAAGTTTTGATTTCACAAAGTAATGCAAAGTTGTACTTCTAATGAATGAAGTTATTATATTAAAACTTAACAGTGCAAATTTTAACTTTAATTAAAATATGTACTTAAAATCATAATGTTTAATATTAGAACTAGTAGAATCTTTGGCTTATTTGTTACATAGGATTACAACTTTATCATCAACATTTTTTGTATTATGTATTTTATGTTCAATTTTACATAATTGGCATGTATAACTGAAACAAGAACAACAAATGTAAAGAAAATTTAAAAAGGAAAATAATATACTTATACATTTTATTAATCAGATATACTATGTTAATATATATTTAAATTTAAATTATAACTTAAATAAAAGAATATTCTTCTCATTTTAGTTAAATCTATTTTTTTTTTAAATTATAATTTTATATAGTATTTACTATAAGATGTTTAATTGTATAAAGGTTCTTCCATTTTTAGAATTTAGTTTGATTGGCAAAATAATCACTCTGTCCTACAATACTCTTTTAAGCAGTTCTAATTTAAAATATAAAAGTAGTTCAATAGTATTTTTTATAGCTAATTTAAAAATAATATTAAAATTTGGAGGTCAACTGGAAATATGATGTATGTACATTTTTTTTTGTCTTTCTCCAAATAAGTTTTTTTCATACTTCAAGTTTTTTTCAATGTCCATATTTATTATATATATTATTTTTTAGGTATCAAAAAAGACATGTTGCATTTAAATTATTGTATTTAGGATGGAATTATCAAGGGTTTGCAACACAAGATGTTACTGAAAAAACTATTGAACATGAATTATTTCGTGCACTTACCAAATGTTGTTTAATAGAAAGCCGGCAAACATCAAACTATCACCGTTGTGGACGAACTGATAAAGGTGTTAGTTCTTTTAGTCAGGTAAAATAAACATATTTATATATACAATTTATACTAATGTAATAAAAAAATATATATATAAATAAACCAATGATTATAAATACTAATATTTATAATTTATAATAATATTAATTCTTATTAATTGTTTCAATATATTTATATTAGGAAGAATTTTTTTTGTTCTATGAAAAATTATATTTCTTCATTGTTATTTTTTAGGTGATTTCTTTAACGGTAAGAAGTAATGGTGAAGATGATAGTAGTGAATTACTTTACTGTAAAATGCTTAACTGCTTATTACCTAAGGATATAAGGATAATTGCTTGGAGTCCAGTCAATGAAGGATTCAGTGCACGGTTTGATTGTGGGTCTAGAACTTATAAGTATTGGTTTCCACGTGGTGATCTTGATGTAGATGTTTGTATTTTTTTTCTTCAATTTTTTTTATTTATCTTGTAAAAATATAGATTTTTTTATATTTTGTGTGTAGATAATGAATCAAGCTTTACAGCAATTAGTTGGGACTCATGATTTTCGTAATTTATGTAAGATGGATGTTGCCAATGGTGTAGTACAATATTTCAGAAGAATTATGAGTGCTAATGTTAAAATATGTTTTGAGAATAATCAATTTTCAAATAATAGGAATTATGATATGTGCGAACTTACCATTGTGGGTAAGGCATTTCTTTGGCATCAAATTCGATGTATAGTATCAGTACTTATATTAGTTGGACAACATAAAGAGAATGAAAATATATTTAAAGAATTATTGAACATAGAGAGTTGTCCAAGGTACTTCTATAAGTATTATAATTGATTACATAATTATTAACATATTTATTTTTAGGAAACCTCAGTATTCTTTAGCTGATGATTTACCATTAAATTTATTTGATTGTGAATTTGAAAATGTCAATTGGATTATTGAAGATGAATCATTATTTGAAATAATTTCTAGTCTACAATCTTCATGGGCTACACATATGATAAAGTAATTATTTGTATAAAAAATAAAATGTGTTTTATAATTTTCATTATTTAACATTGTTTCATACATACTATCCTTTAATTCATAATAACATTTTTTAGAACAATTCATAAACAAATAAAAAAAGTATTTTAAAATCAAAATTATTTATTAAAATAATTTACAGAGCTACAATGATGGGAGAAATGTTAAAAAATATGGACATTTTAGCAATAAATAAGATTAACAATCAAAGCGAATGGTTAATACAAGGCGTCAAATCTAAAATGTATCAACCACTTTTGAAGAGACCAGCTAGTGGTAATACAAACAAAAATATGCTTATAATTTGATTAAAAATAATAACATAAACTAATTTTAAAACAATTTTTTAACTATTTATTATTTACTAAATTTATTAAATTAGTAAAACAACTTTTTCAATACAATTTTGCTCTTAATATTATCAGTCGATTTGTAAATTATAATATGTACTCAGTTATTTGAGTACGGGAACAATTTTTTTTAATAACTATTTTAAATATGGTTTTGTATTAAAATTAATTAAAAGAAAACAAATAGAATAAATAATGTTGTACTTTTAAAATGAGTTGAAAATAACTACACGATTTAAGTAGAATATATTAATATTATTTATCTTACTAGTAAAAAAACATATATTATCAATTAAATGATATGTTTAGTGTAAAAATAATTCATAATTTGTATTATTAAAATATTTCTAAACATAGCAAAATATATGAACTTTATTATACAAGCAATTCTACACATTATAATTGATTATAACTTTTTTTTTTTTCAGAAAGCTTAGAAAATCGTATTGAACACTACACTAAGAAAGAAAAGCTTAAATTAGAATGCAAAGATAAATAAAAAAATTTATATGTTCTATTTTTTTTTAATAGACCCATATCGATACCTATACCTATGTAATCCGTACAAAATAATACAATGGCAAACATGTAATAAAGCACTGCTAAATTCTGTTGCGGGAAATGTGTTCCAACAGATTTCGATGAGTCCAAGTACTATTAATCTAAACTTATTGCCATAAGGCGTGGACCATAATAGAAATGGCAGTGTATGATAGTACCAAACATAAAATTGATAGTGTAACGAACGGCTAAACATTATTCCAATAAAGTTAGCTGAAAACATGGGTAACAAAAATAAATTAGCACTGATGTCCATATTGATGTTGATCTTTTTCTTCTTCAGTTGTGGTTTTAAGTCATGTTCAATTTGCTTCATTTTGGCATAAGAGTTTAAATATTTTATCCATGTAGCAGTAAAACATAATAACATTGTAAGATGTATGACTAGTAAAAGCATATGAAAATATCCGCTTACAAATATGTTTGGTGGAACAAATTTCCAGTTTACTGACCATTTGTATAAAAATACTCTGGATAAGTCGAATGCTCCCCGTACATAGTTTATGGGATTGTTAATTAAAAATGGTAATCCCAATAATAACTGTACTAGAGCACAATAAGTAATGTGCTTCATTGTTCCTAGGGTGCCAAACTTTGTAACATATGCTAATAAAAGTACAGGAGAATATAGCAAGATATTCATTTTGATAGAAACAGCCAAACTGTATATTATACTACCAATAACCCATTTGTTTTTTAGAAACATGTATATAGATAGGTAAAGTAATATCACAGCAACTGGATCATTGAATAATCGCAAGACATAAATTGAGTGGATGCGATATGATGAAAAACATTGTAGTAACATGACAAATGGTGGTACTTTTTTACTACGTTCGTGTATTTTGAATACTAAATATAAATTTAGCAAATACAAAACCATGAATATGTATTGACCAGTTCTGATGTTTTTTCCAAATTCAGTCAAATAATACAACACTGAAAATACATATACAAACCCAGCAGGATATACTAATGGGCCAGTGTCTCCTTTAAGTTTGCCATAATCAAGTGTACCATTCACCACAACGCCTTCAACTTCTTGCATGTACGCCTTCCAGTCGATTTCTGTGTACCTGACTGTTTGTATGATGTATACATTTAGTATAAGTTCGATGGCAATGACAATCCATTTCATTGACGATGTATACGAAGGATCAAACAAGTACAATTTAATATTTTCCAATGATCCATGGCTTTTTACAATTTTAAATGTTTTTACACATTTTTTCCACATTTTAAATTATTTTAGGTATTAAATATACATTAATAGAATGAGTGTACGTCATTAGCATGAATAAAAATATTATGAGATCTAACGTTATCAATAGTTAGCATTATTGTAATATACTCTCACGTGTCAACTGAATATTTGATAAGTATTATCACTTCTGATATAGCAGAGAATAGTGCAGGGGCGACCAAACGGTCGATCGCGGATGATTTCTGAGTCGATCATGTTAGAATTTATTTTTAGGCCACGTGCACTTCAACAATGTAACTATCAACAATAAATATTAATATGTTAATTAGACTTAAGTATTTAGATTTTAGAAATTATTATATTATTTTTAGTAATTAGTTTATAATACTTTATGTATGTTTATATACACTTTAAGCAAATATGTTTCTTAATAATTATAATTATTTAATAATAAAAATATTTTTCCAAGAAGTCGATCTTCAAAGGAGAAGTATATTTTTAGTAGATCGTGGCCGAAAAAATTTTGGCCGCTTCTGGAATAGTGTATATTAATACACTATTCCAGAAGCGGCCAAAATAGGTCTTAATAGGTCGATTCGTTCTATACGGAACATCAACGTTCCGTCAAAATATCTTACAATGTATTACAATCAGGGCCGTATTTAGAAATTTGACACCAGGGGGCAACAATAAAAAACGCTTCATTTACCAAATACAAATTTCTGCTGTTTGAAAAAGATCTTTTTGAAGAATAATTTGTTGCTGGTGTACACAAAAATATTCTAAGTGCAATGTCAACATAAGGATAGATTGTTTGTAAATCTTTGGATCTATAGACAGTACTTGACCGTTACCGAGTATGTGTGTGTGTGTGTGTCGTGACGCCATGATTGGCAATATATATATTTTTTTATGTTGTACACTTTTTATTTTGTAAAGAAGTTTCACTTCAAAAATATTAGATCATTAAATATTGAAAATATAAAAAATTAGCCACCCTCTCATATTCAGTCGCCTGGGGCAACTGTACCCTGTAGCTCCACCCTAAATACGGCTCTGATTACAATCATTGCGATTACATACATCGGCCACGTTACGCAACGTTTATCGAAAACTATATTTTGACGTGACGGAGCTGTTCCGTTCGGATAGTATGAATGTTTGAGCTGAACGTTTCAGTCAACAATAACAATATCAAATTGAACTATACAATATGGCTAACAGAAAGTATAGTGATTAACACCATAAAGACGTAATATGGGCGAAAATCGGTAAAGAATTGAACACATCCAATGCCGCAACTACACACTATAGGGCTGGTATGCAAAACTGAATTTTGGGCCTAAATATTTGTCCAAAAAAGTATTTACCTACTATAAATAAAATAACCAGTGTTAATATTATGGAAAGTAGTCTAGTGGATCTTTAATTTTAAATGACCTGCATTAATGTAGACTTGCATTATTTTCTGCTATTTCTGTTCTAAGAATTATTATTACCATAAGATTATAAATACTTTAGTAATACAGACGCGTATACAAGAAGTTTTATGGGTTCAAACCCCTCCCGAAATTCAGGAAAATTATTAAATATGTTTTTATTTAGTAAATTTGGTATATAGATTATATTATTATAAAAATGTACAACCTAAAACCCCTCCAAAAATATTTTTTTGTGTACGCGCCTGTAGTAATATAATAGTATTTATAATCAATGGTATTGCATTTGCTCATTGGCAACTAGTTTAGTAGTTGGTTATGTTATTTGATTATAAATATTTAATTATTAATATGATAAATCTGTACTGTACATTTATCAATTTACTTCAGTTAAAATGTCTATAATAACACATCGTGTAGGGCCTTTAACGGTTTGGGGGCCAATGTGCAATGCACACCTTGCACACCCGGTAGTTGTGGCACTGAACACAACAGTTACCTACGCTGCAACTCTGCGATCATTCAACATTTTTTACCTGAAAATCGACGACTCGTTTGCGGACGACGAAATCAGCCGTTTACTTGAAAATAGATAACTCGTTTGCGCACGACAGATTCACACTCATGACACGTGTAAACATATATCGTCACAGACTGCAGTACAAATTATCAAATATATTATCTTAATATTATCTTATAATCGACTGTGTAGACTGTAGATTATATAAATTTGGATTTTCCAGACAAATGTTAGTAAAGTTTCGGTAGGAATGGTGTGTTGATGTAAACTTTAATATGGCGTAGAAATTTCTAATATTTTTGAATCTTAGTGAGGAAAACGATGTTTTAATATTGATAATTATAAATTTAGTGAATACCGTGTTTTAATGAGTGGATGTTCAAATTTTAGATGCGCTAATAAAAAATGCCATGCGAATGTTATTTTTAATAAATCAAACTAAATAATAAAAGTAACGAACTTTCATAATTATGAGGAGTATAATAATCCACGATAATAAGCAAACGAGTTCTGACACTAGGGATTTTCGTCACAGGTAGCCAAAATATATGTGTGCAATCGATTTGTACATTTTTGCGCAAACAATTTGTAAAAAAAGGTAAATGTGTGCAAACGAGTTGTAGCCAGTGGCGCACGCAGAGGGGGGGGGGTTAAGGAATTGTAACCCCCCCCCGAAATTTTTTCTGATGTCTACGTTAAAATTTACAAATTTTACAAGTTTGAAATATGAAGAGCTAGTATTGAATACCTAGTATCATTGATTATAGAATAGTCTATTCTATTATCAATGCTATTATTTAAGTCAAAATATATTAAGGATTTGCATAATTTTGTTAATTGTAAAATGTGTTATATTTTTACCTTGACTTTGGTTTGTTGCTCTCGTGGTTTTCTTCTTCAGCTGCAGAGGTAATTTATCTTCACCGATCGTGTTTTATAAAAATAAAACTTAATGTCAAGATTATTAAATATATTATAATAGATTTATGGAATAGTCCATTTAAATCGGCATACTTCAAATGTAATCAACACGTAAAATGTATGACCCGATATACTTATGTTTAAGTATAGCATAAAATACTCTCATGTACATAAAATATGAAAATTTACCACGGTTATACTTGGTAAAAGAAGAAAAAGTATTAGTGTTTTGATTCAAATCTCTTTACCCGATTAACATAGTTGTAAGAAAGTAATTTGGTTTTCATTTCAACATGATAATTCAAATTAAAACGTTCATTTATATATGCTAATCGACCTTCTTGAAATATAAAAATATTTAATTAGAAAATATTACTTTATGTTTTTATTTTTATTTTTGGAGAGTTGAAGCTGTCACATAATTGAGATCGATTGTTCACTTATACCGGACACTGATAACTGTTAATAAGTGATGAGTTTGCCAAAATAAAAAAAAGATTTAAAATTTTATTTTAAAACTTGAATTTATACAAAACTGTGTATTTTCTACTTTTTTTTAATTTGCAACTGCTATAAATGTAACAGAAAAATAAGATATCATGGTTATAGTAATAAGTCAGGGAGTTAAGTATTTTTAGGGGTAGCTATGGAACATGATTTCTATGCGAGTACAAAGTTATACGTATCACCCATTTCACTTCCTATCACTACGGCCTGCAATAATGTACCTGTTTCAATTCTGTGTTTTTAGATTTAGTTCGTTTTATAAACCAGCCGAAACCTTTGAATGACGCTAGTCTGCAAAGTATATATGCAGAAGCGAGACTCGGCATTCGATCGGCACCGAACGGAAAAGCCACATGGGTTGTTAACCTAACCTGACCTATACGATATCACGGCAACCGAGATAATTATCCGTAAGTATTGCGCTACTTATTAGTATGTACAATGTAAAGAACCGGCGGTCATCAAAACCGCATACTTACCGTTCATAACCGCACATTTTACATCGTTCAATACCACACACATTTATTCTATTGTTAAAAAGGGAAATTTCAAAGGTCGATAGTTCAAAACCGCACACAATTGATTAACAGTTCTTTCTCCCCGCATACTTTGCATGTACGGTTCACGTAGCCGTTCCGAATGATTCTCACTCTTAATCGTTTTTTTTTTTATCCTGTGACCTATTTGGGGTGGTGTTGCATAGCAAATCGGGGGATATTTTCGTTTTTAACTGTCCGATCGAGCGAGTGACCCCGCCTGGTCTCGAAGTGCACTCATGTTATTTTAAATAAATGTATACGTTATCGACATATATCAATGTGTGCGGTATTGAACGGTTTAATTTGACGGACATAATATGTATAATGTATAATATGTATTATGTAGGATTAAGATATACAAGTGTGCGATTTTGATTGACGGCCCGTTTTTGAAAGTGTGCGGTTATGAACGACGCCTTAAAGAACATACATTGATTATTTTTTTTAGGTACTTTCAAGTTAATATGGTAACGAATAGAATATCTACTTTATGGTATATATTAATTAAACATAATGCTGATAGTCTATTTTCAGTTATTATTGAACGAAGCCAGGTTTTTAGTCTCCGAAGTGTTTCCACCGTCATACCTCGATGGCTCTTTCTACATATTTGTGCGTGTCGTACGATAGTACTTATTATAATATACATTTTTTTATAAATACGGTACGGGCTTGGGAGGGGGCCACGGTCTTCGGGGCTCCCCATGGAGCCGCCCTTAGCTAATGACGAATATGAATTATTTTCTGCCGTCGTGTTAGCTGTTAATACATAGCCATGAAGGCTAGTCGACTCTCTTTTGCGACATTTTGATCCTATATGTTTATATATTATTTAGGTTAGAAAATATAAAACAAATTATCAAAATTACAAAATGTATTCACCAGTTAATGGAGTTCGTGACCATATGTCATTTTCTTCAGCAAATATTTTTATTTGTTTCCATATTGTCTTAAATTCATTTTCAAATCTTAGAGTTTCAAATATTTTAATTACACCAAAAATTACATTTTTAGAAAAACCAAGATTTAATGTTTTATTCTGTAGTGAATTTCTTAAAACATTTATTATAGACAATACATCTTTAAGAATAGTAGAAACTATTATAAAATCACATTTATGGTTTGAACTTAAAATACTGGCAACATCATAATAAAAATAAATTATAAATTATTTTGGATATCAAGATATATATTGTTTATTTTCTACCCATT